TTTTTCTCTTTTCCCCCTTCGGGGGGGGGCCGGGCGGGCCCGGGGGGGGGTGGGGATCACCCACCCTTTTGTGTTTTCCGGCGTTTTTTTTCTCCTTTTTTTTTTGTGGAAAAACCCCCAAAACTCCCCCCCCGCGGTGGGCCGCCTCCCCGGGATTTTTGGCCCAGGGGAGTTCCCCGGGGGGGGGAGGGAAAAGTGGGGTTGTGTTTTTTCCCCCCGGAAACACTATTCCGTTTCACATTTTCCGGAAAAAAAAAAAAAAGGGCCCCCCCGGGTTCCGGGTCCCCGATGGGGGAGGGAGGGGTGGGGGATTTTTTTTCCTTTTGGGGCCCAAAACCGGTTTAAAAAAAAAGGGGGGGCTCCCCGAAAAACCCCCCCCCCCCCCCCCCCCCCCTTTTTGGACGACCAAAAAAGCTAATCAAACACACCTGGACGTTCCCCTGAACAAAGTTGAAGTTCAGCAAGTCCATGAAGGGCACCAGCAGCGACCTAGACTCCCGCAACTCCCCCCCCCCGCCGTCCAAGCGGGTGAACGCCCTGCTGCTGACTGCCGCGGTTGCCCAGGCCAGATCGCCGAAGCCCACTCGGTGCTCTCCGAACGGAGAGCCCGGCCCCGGGGTCAAGGGGTCCAGCACACGCTTGATGAAACTCATCATAAATTTACACCTGCCGCGGCGGCGTGGAAGAGATCGAGACTATCGCGCGCGGTGTGATTGGCGGTTACTCACCCGAATCGGAACAATTCCAGCCTCGAGGTCAGGACTACAAATAGAGCGTAGCGAGCACGCCGGCTAAATGACCCACTCTTAGTTATGCTACCCTTGCAAAGAAAGATAAAGGAGGCCGACGAGGTCCAACCAAGAGCTCTTTGGGTTTCCAATGATGCGCAAGGACGGCTTTACAAAGCCAACGGCGATCCCCACAGCTGCGACGAGCTCGCTTTTGATCGACCGCCTTCGTGGCAAGCTCTGCTCAATTACACAAAGAACAACAACCGTTCGTTTCTCCTTGACGCTCGTCTTGAGCGCTGGCATGACCCATGCAAGCGGATCAGTTGCACTTATCATAGGCGAACAGCTGTAATAGTTCCCATGGCCGTTTCATTTAGGAGGCAACTTTTGATCACCGGAAGACTTGCCTTTGATCGATCTTCCCGGCAAGCGCCATGTCTTGCATGCCTCTCATTTCGACGGCGCCAAAGGACGCCAAGGGGACGCCCTTGAAGCGCTTCGGGAGGTTCGAAATGTACGACTCCCACTCGGAGGAGGAGCCCGTCTTGTAACGCTCGTGCAGAAGAACAAGACCAAGCCTGACGACACCAAATCAGGGCCCCACCAACAGGGGCAACACATGGACAGCACCGAGTTAAAAGATCGTCGCCACGGGCAAGCGAGCCGGCACGTGCTTCCGACAACGCCGTGCAAGGGCTGGCTTAGCTTTACCACCCTCACGCGCTGTCCTGTTTATGGTGCACACGCACCAAAAATCGCCACAACCGCACGCACAGCAGTTCGAAACGCCATTCGCTTGCGTGCCCTGTAGCGGCTTACTATAGCTCCGTGTGTCAACTTCAGCACTACACACTAATAAAAGCGACGACACTAGCGGCAATCACGACCTTTCCAGAAGGAACCTCGTCGCTCAAACACACGGACTCGCGGAACGGTAGACGAAACGATTAATTCGTCATTGTGTGATGTGCTCTTGGAACACACCTATCAGCACGCTTTCATACCGAAAATCACAGTGCAGAAGAAGTCTAAAGCTCAAGAAAAGCCGCAAGGCCCGCCCTCACCTAAGGTCCGGGTACGTGCGAGGGACTTTCTCGACGAGAGCCTGCAATTCGGGCGGTCCCATCCAAGACTTGTCCTCCTCGAGGACACCGTTGTTATCGTCTGCGCCCTCTTCGCCTTGCACGGCGGCGGTGCTGCCAATGCACATGCACCTGGGGATTGTCGCCAGCTTCTCCCCGAGCTCGATATCTCGCTCCGCCTTCAACCCCCACCCAAACCGAGGCGTTTCTGTTAGGGAGGGTGAAGCGGAACGGATGGGCGGTGTTTCATGCAAATGCCGTCCGAATTCAGTACTCTAGGTGGACGGACCCAGCCCAGATTTCCAACACACAAGAGAAGGCGGCCTACCTGGTACTCTTGGCTACAACGACCTCGCTTCATTCTGGGAAGCCGAAAGCCTTCAATTCTTCGTTTTTCCGCTACAAAACGCAGTACCTTATAGAGTTTTCCACGCGGCATCTACACAATCATTACGATAGAGAAAGTATTCACAGCATCACAGACGGACCGTCCGTTCGAGATGATCCTGAAATGGAAAGTGCTAGTTCAAGTTTTTCAAGTCTTTGTAAGGCGGTAGCAGGGCGGTAGAGCGATAAAGTGAGGATTGCGTCACATGGGTTCTGAACCAGGTTGCACATGAACGTTTCGTTCTCGTATGCTGTACATTGTAGCTACAGCAGTACTTGTAGCAAAGAGAGCGGCGCAATGGGATGCGGTGAGATCGGATGTTTTCGACAGCGATAGGCGATAGGGGGTGACAGGACGGCTAGACCAGACGAGGCGTGGCGCCGCACTTGACGTTTTGTGTCTGTCTGTGTAGGCGTGAGGCGACAAAGCGAGCTCGAGGTGGCGAGGAATCACCCTGCAACATCTTTATTAGCCTACACAGACAGGTTGACACATGATCCCAAGTGACTCACTATGACTCACCCTCCAAACCAACAGGGCCAATAGCTCCTCCCACGCTCGAGAACCATTGCTGCAACGCCTCCGGATTAGGGTCTATACGGTTGTCCCTTTCCGCACTCCCTTCCGCACGCTGACAGGAAACGACGGTGTTGCTTTGCCGGCTGTTGCTGCAGCACTGATGGTATCCTGTCACGGAACCATAGTGATTCAACGGCGCAAACTTGGTTCCAAAGCCCTGGGCACTTGCAAGCAATAAAAACGGTACAACGCAGCAGCGGTTGCGTTTCATTGAAGAGCAACCAGTGCTACGTCTTGGAGGTCCAAAGCGAGTTGGTTTGGTCGTGGCGTCGCGGCACATGTTCTCATCATTGAACCTCGGGGGCAACGCTGAATGGTATCAGAACGAAGGCCAGGGTACGCCCAGATTTCACACAAGTACCCACGGAGCTCTTATTGACACGCCGCACGACACGGCGCGCCAATTCCACACCCTTGCCAGCTTCAACTCCGTCATTTCGAGCATCAAACCATGTTCGACGATGCCTGGTTTGTCTTCAAGGACTACCTTGTATGGTGCAAGCGACGCACGGCGCTGCTGTTCTACAGCTCCGTGTTTTGGTGCATGGTCCCTTTCGTAAGTTGATTCGCGCTGGCTATATTGCCTACATTCTTCTCGGTTGCACACCCGAGGGCGGAGCATTTGCTACAGCTTTCTTCTAGATCGACAATCGACGATGCCACAACAACGTGCGCGCTTGTCAATTTGCCGGGATGTACACAAGGAAAACATATATTCCTTCACAAACCCGGCACTTTTACGTCGGCCAGGGTCACTCCCACGGTGTGCTTTGAATGTTTACTGGAGAAGATCTAAAAAGTGAAGTAGTTGCAGACCGGCTCAGCACTGGAGGCGACGGTACGAAGAGATGTCTGTACATTTGCCAACAACGACAACGCGTTTTGTGTTAGCAATCCAAAGTTGTGAAGGCCTTCCCTGTAGCCGAACCGTCCCTGATCGTTCGCGGGGGGCGCTCTCGTGGTGTTGTCTGTTCAATACGGCACCCAAGACATTCTGATTCCCTCAAGTTGTTCGAAACGGATAACCGACGATACCTGGTACCCTGCTTTACCAATTTGTACGCACAACAGCTGCTGAGGGGAGCGTTGGGAGATAGCCACGGCGTTTGATACTTCGTGTATGATTCGTGCCAGCTTAGGGCTTCTCTGTCTATTGCCTGTTGTTAGAGGGTGTGAGGTATCACACCCGCATAGGAACGGTACCCGCTGACAAACAGTGCCCTCTTTCCCCTCGGAAGAAAGCAAAACAACGATACATGCATACGTATCCCCATCGCCCATGCTCCAGCGAGCATACCGTAATTGTAGGTGTCATGGCACCGGGGTTACATCGTTTTCTAATCATTCCTCTCTAGGCTGTTTATCTCACCCCGGTGCCATATCGCGTATGGGTGCCATAACACCGATTCTGTACCGCAGCGGAAATGAAAACCTCATTTTTCGCACCCGATGTGTGCGATGACACCGATGTGTGCGATACGTAGTATGCATCGTTCACAGCAGTAGCCCTTCTATGGTGCTGAGTCCATGCACCCCGGTGCGATGACACCGATAGGTACGATCCTGAAAGAACGAGCACAGGTGCTCTCTGGTACAAGAAGGTCAACTTGCGGTACAGGATCCGTTCCAAAGCACACACACCGGTTGCCGGCGAATTGCGGCGAATTACAACTGCAGTTCCCGCGAACATGCGGCGAAATTACACGGCACGCTGGATATCTGTCTTTGTCTTCCTCAAAGGGAACGGTACATTGAGAGAATTCGATGTATCGATCACCGTAAAAAGAAAATTGACTCATTTCTAAACATGTAAAGGGTTCGCGCCCCACGGTTGATACCTACCGGCACCCAGCCGTTGGTTTCATACAGTTTAAAACTTGAGCTGGAGGGTACCGGTACCTTACGGAAGCACGCAATTTTACGTCCTTATCAGGTGTTATATCGTTGATATCGCTCCGGGCGCGATAACAGGTAACACCGATACCACCGATATACACACCGATACTGGTGCGGAAATGAAATTTTATTTATTTTGTTGTTTTTTTGCGCACCCCGGTGCCATGACCCCGATGGGTGCGAAATCACCCATGGCTGCCATGGCACGCACACCTACCGTAGTTCCAGACACGTCAGGAGCTGTACCCAATGGGGATAGAAGGAGAGTGCAACACGAGCCCCGGCCGGCGAATCGCTTCTCACGAATTCACATGGCGTCAGTGTTTTGTCAACCAGGCGACACCAACAGCAACTTGGCGTCTGTCTCGACGTGATAAGTATTTGGAACGCGAAACCTGTCTAACCTCTTTGTTTTGTCGTGCTATGAATGACCCTTGTGGACGATGGCTTAGATATTCCTGCGTTTGTGTGCACCATGTTCTACTCACTTCCAGATGTTCGGGAAGGCCATGATCCATCACGCTCGTGGGAAGGGCTGGTTCGCGGACCCCCGAGGCAAGCCGCCCCTGCTCACGTACGGCAGAGACCTGGTGGAGTTCGCGATGAAGTTCACGCTTCTGCGATCGAAGCCCGCCACAGACCTCGCCTACGAGGCTACGAAGAGCGTGGCCATTTCGACGCAGGGCGACGGGATCATGGTGAGAGCCATCCTGCCGGAACAAGGGGGGTCGTTCAGCCCTGGCCTCATTTTTGTGACCGCATGCTTGCTGTACGGATTTCCCCATTCCCCGAAATGGTATTTACTGCTGTCGAAGAAGGGAATGTCACCCTCGTGAATTGTGTCATAATTGCACCTAGGTTTGTCTTGCGAGACAACAACAACGGCACAATCGCTAAGTACACACATCTTTCCTTTCCTTTGCGTGGGCCAGGGGATTGAATCAGTTCCCGAGATTCGTCGACAGATCAATCGACTCAAGCTGACAACACCACGTTGTATGCAGTCGAGCGCTCGCAAAAGAGCGTGTGTTTGTCTCTTTTGAACTGGTCCCTGTTGCGGCTTGCGAACGACATCTGCTCGCCAGGTGAAGATGACGGACGATTATATGGAGTTCCAGCCAAAGGAGGGGAAAGGAGACGGGAAAGTCGGGGTGAGCTTGCGATACGCGTTATCGTGCGCTGATTTCGCACGCACCCGTGGCGGTAATAATTTTATCCTTCTTTTTTTTTACGCCTGCGCCTTCGCGTGTTTCTTCCATCTGATGAAACTGGGCTCTGCGTTGTCAGAGTTTGTCGATCTTTACATGTACCCCCCTCGACTGTCCACACGCTGTCATGTACTGGTGTGTAGGGATGGTTCTATGCATCGACGTAGAGAGACAACCGGAATTTTTTCTTACAAAACATTCATGCAATCCCGGAAAGGCTATAATACCCATTCGAGATATACCCACAGCAGTCGAAGGGGGGGTGTTGAACTCTTAGTCTTTGCAGTGTATTTTTTTTCTTTTTTCACCGCCGATGTCGACATTGCACTCACCTGTTGCCAACAACAGGTGATCATTGTTCCTGGGGGCTTGGTGTCCCCCTTCGCGTATTCCATCCTGGCTCGCTCTTTGGCGCAGCGAGGCTACCCGACCTTTGTCCTGCGGCTACCCTTCAACCTAGGTACTCGTGGTTGACATAGGTGTGCACGTCGATCGAATTGTTTGGCCGGTGGCTTTTTTGTGTCGTACGAAGACGCCGCGTTGTTCAGGTGTCAAGTGACGTCGTGCGATTCGATATGCCTTGTGTATTGTGCTTTGTGTTCAAAGTGGACAGAAGGTCAGCGAGGATGGTGGTATCAGATTGGACGCTGCCGCTGCGCATGTTGCACTCGCTTTGAACAACCGAAACGCGTGTACACAAGCACACATCTAACCAGCGCCCATCGTTCTTGAACGCGTGCAAGCTTTTTACGGCTGGACAACAAGTGGCAAGATCATCAAACGCACACAGACGGAGGACGCTCCCAAACCTCCGACCAAATGGGTGCTGGTCGGCCACTCCATGGGCACGTTGGGCGTCGAGTTGGTGAGGACAACACTTTGCAATTATATATCTTGACCCCCCCTTTCCCCAGGTAAAAAGTGCACCGTGATTGAACTGCTTGTTCACCACACGCGATGTCTTCGAATGCCACGACACGATATTTCGTAGGAGAGCTTCAACCAAAGAGCGATACCTACAGACCTCGTCGACCCGGTACCTTGCTGACCTTTTCCCGGGCAACTTCGTGAGACACTAACCTAATATCGGTCCGGAACCCTGATGTGTGTGTCTGTGGCTCCTCGCAGAAATGTTCCAATGATCGATGACTAAGTCTCGGAACCGTTTTCCACCACAGTTTCTGTTCTCGGAGACTACCCGGGACGCTTCGAAGACACCACTAGAAGAGAGCTCTCGCAAGCTATCGTCTGTCGCCGTCCGTTGCGTCGTCGCCCTCGCTCTCCGCTCAGTTCACAGAAGCCAGGCCGGAGTGCGTGAACGGTGTGGTGTACATGGGCGGCGGGAACAAGCCCACGGGGAAGATCGCCAACCTTGACTTGCCGTCGCTCGTCATACGGGGATCGCGCGACCCTTTCACTCCGGAAAAGGTGACAGCCCAATGTGATACAAGTTTGTATATGTAGTTCGAAAACCCAACGATATGACATTGTCAACGTTGACTTCTTGATCATTCCTCTTGGTGAAGAAACAACAGTTTCCGTATCTCCGAGGTGCTCAGATACTGCCGTATGCCCCAGTCATGAAACCAAATGTCGCCATATCAACCTACCCCTTTCGTTTGCACCGACAGGGACGCTTTGTTCCGCTTGGTATTGAATTTCCACCACATCGCATCCACGACCTTATCGGCGGTTGCTGTCTCAGATTTCTCGGGTATTTTTTTTTGTGACTCTTTATTGGGGCAATGGAACGTTCGTGGGCTTCCTTTCAGGACGGACCCTTTTTTGCCCGGCTCGGTGCTTTTCTTCCCTTCTCACTCGACGAAACAGGACATGCAGAAGGCGGTGGACAAGTGGCCCAAGGGCACCGAGACCTGCATCGTGGAAGGTGGAAACCACCGAGGTTTCGCGTCGTACGGCCGACAGCCGCTCGACTGGGAGGTGCGTGAGGACATCTTAGATGCCAAGAGAGGGTCGACGTGGCTGCTTGTCGGCTCTCTCCCCCAACGGAGGGGGAGAGGTTGTGGAGCACGCGTTTTGGAGTTTGAAATCATGTGATCGCCACGTCGGCATCTCATGCAAGAGAGCATTGTACACGATCAGCACCGGCTTTGGTAGGGATCACCTCATCGTCGTTGCTTTGCTCTTTTTTTTTTCCCTTGCAGCCATGCAGATCGTTGAAGAGTCGTGTGAGTTGTGAGTTTGCCAGCCAAGCATTACTGAGGCTCTGCCAGCCGTTGGCTGCTGCCGTCATGCTCCGCTCGTTTGCCGAAGGCGCTTCAGTACGATCCGGTATTTGTCAACGACGGAGAGTATTGGGCGTTGCATGATGCCAATGCGTTGCGAGGGTCATTGCCACGATGCGTCTCCAGAACTCGATACGCATAGCTCGTGTTGTACGCTCCTGACGGACTCGTACGAGGGCCTCCTCCTCACACACCCTGCTTTCTTGCTCCGTGATACTCGGTGTGATGCATCTCACTTGGCATGTCTCTCTCGGTCAATGTCCGCCTCGTGCTAATCAGGCGACCATCTCCCCGGACGAGCAGATGCGAATCGTGCTGGAAGCGCTCACAGAGTTCATCGAACGCAAGGTAGCATGAAGTCACCCACGGGGTGCACCCCAAGGAGGACGCGTCATGGACCTACATAATAGTGCCCTGAAGTACCTCCGGCCTTGCGGGCGACTGTTGGTTTGTTTCGGCACGCTAGTCTAACGTTTGTGGTACAGTAGTGAGAGGGATTGTGTGTGACAGAATGTGAAGCGCTCTCGCAGAAAGAAATACCGCATACTTGTCTAACATGGGGCGAACAACGAAAGTTTTGTTGGCGCATCGTGCTGGGGTTAGCCCGTGATCTCTCTTGAGCTGGCGGGCAGTATTGTATGCTAGTGGATCAAGATACCTGTAGACGACCATTTGATTGGTCGACGGTGGGAGCGTGGCACATGTTGAGCAGTGTTGGCGTCAAGTAGATATCATCATGGTCTTTCTTCGGCGCGCGCTGGAAAGCGGTGTCGGTGTCGGGCGGTCTAATTCGGACCATGAATTAATTGTAACTTATTTCTCTGTTCCACTGGCGCGACATTTATTTGTACACATCAACAGGCCCACCGCGTACCAACCCCTTCAGGCTGCTGCTGTAGGCGCAAAACATCTACGGCCTACGTAGCAATCCCCGCTAAGCCTGTGGGAAACACTAAAAACAGTGCAGCGAAGATCCTTTTCGGCGCCAAGTACAGTAGGTCCCTCTCTCTTGTGAGACACAGCAGCAGTCCTGGACTGATGCACGAAAGAAAAAATGTCCGTAATCACACGGGGGAGAACCCCCAACCATCATACATCGACAAACAAAACGGGTTGCTGCCCAGTCTGTCTAATCAGTTCGTTTTGTTGAGGTCGTTGTTGACCCCGATCGTGAGGATATCATTGAGCGATTCCTTGGTTAGCGTGAGCATCCGGCGAGCCTCCCCACCGTCCCCGTCGCGGGCCGCAGCTGAGAGCCCGCCGAGCGCTATCAGCGCGTCCGCGGCGAGTCCGTACCTGGGAAAAAAAAATTATTGGCGTCAACTCTTTTTCAGCCCAACTCATGTCGAGACCAACGAAACCTTGGAGTCGCTTGTCGCGGTCACGGCAGCGGGCAAGGTGAAAGGAAAGAAGACTCGCGGGTGTTGGTGTTTAGTGCGTATGTATATGGGATCGCGTGTGAGGTGAAAAAATAAATAAAATGATAAAATGCTATACCACTTCGCGCTAGTTGGAGCATCGTGTCTATCCGCACAAGAAGCATCGCATCAAAGTGGATGTATTGCTGTAGGTCGCGGACGAACAGGGCTGATCCTGCAACGGCATAGGCAACCGCAGAAGGGGACTACCACATGCGAACATATCGACCAAAAGCAGCAGCAAATTCACCTTCGAATGGTGCCCACGGCAAGCCTGTCGTCAGCCGGCAATGAGTTGGACTTGACTAGGCCCACGAGCGATGCTTCGAGATCCGCGGTGGCACCGCTGTCCAATACTTCCTGCACGTAGTGACGAAATGATATTCAACACGCAAACATAACAAGTGGGCTGTGATTGTTGTTGTTGTTGTGGTTGTTGTTGTTGTTGTTGTTGTTTTCTCCACATTAAGCACCGTTCCGGTCTCCGCTCAGTAACTTCCAATATCCGTACTGCTGTGGGTGGGTGCATGAACAATGCTGTCGTCTGTCAGTACCATACCTACTCATGAGAGGTGCTGCAAAATCGTACCTGCACTTCTTCGAATTTTCGTGATCGAAGGGGTACGTCCACCGAGTCCAACTGCTGCCTTGCATCCCTGATCCTCCGGAATGATTCCTGCCCCAGCGACTTGTTGACTTTGCCTGCGGCGGCGAACGCACCGCTCGGCTTGGCCAGTACAGCAGCGGCTGCCCCTGTTTTGAACGATGCAGTTTGGGAGGATCGGCAGTTTTCAAAGGTTCAATCGATGCGAGCACCAGCTACTGTTCTTTCCCTACGCTCGACAGCACGGGCATTTATGAAATTGGAAACCGTTCGTTCAAATTCAATTATGAACGGTGGCCTGCTAATGCTACATGGTAGGTACATGATGCCGAGCCTATCGAACCTGGCCAAAAAAAGGAACAAAAAAGAGAACAAAAAAGCAAAAACTGGGCAAGGAAAAAAAAACAATAAAAAACACGCGAGTACTTCGAAGTGCACGTAAGAGGGAGTCAGTCATCCGCCCATCGCCCACTTCCTTTTCTTTAGAGACATGACCACATGGATGATAGTGAAAAAACGTATCTTAGCTGTGATTCAGTATATCCTCGCGGATACTCTGGGGACGACGAGTCATCGCGTAACGAAATATTATCGCCTACGTACACAGCAGTAGATACACAAACAGACAGCAGTTAGTTAAATAATGAGGAAACATATAGATAGGCATACCAGTAGTTTAGTGTAGTTCGAAAAATAATAGGCGCCAAAAAAATAAGATTGACCGAAGGTTCCGGTTTGCGTGGGAGAGGCATCGAACTCCTACGATTCGGCTCACCTCCCATACAGTACTCGTACACGGGGGGCTTAATAACAAAACAAATTATTCCGCGCGAAGCGCCAAAAGAAGGGGCGGAGAGAGACACCAAACCAAGCGTCGATAGATATGGATGGAGCCTACGCCACCATAGAGGTCACCAGTGCACACGCTCACACCTCACCCGACACCACCAGTCAGTCAGGGCATGAATGAGAGCGCTGTTTAGCTCTCATCGTCAGCTACATGTAGCTGCAGCAGCTGCTGTTGTTTCTGCTGCTGCTGTGCATGGGTGTGCATTTGCTTTCCTCGCTTCGCAGCTGGCAACGGGCTCTAAAAATCGCTCCCGACGCCTCCTACGATGTGTGTATTTGTATTTGGCCGCCCTTGGCCTACAGCGTTGTGTACGTCTCACTTGTCTCTGTTTCGGGGGTGCGTCTGTTGTGGAAGCAAAGATCGGCCTTCAGACGAAGACAGACCGCAGACAGATTTGACGTGTGTGCACTCGCATGTTCCCTCGCTTACGCTGCTAGCAACAGGCCTCGGGCTTAAAAATAGCTTCCGACGCCAGCCATGATGTGTGCCTTTGGCCGGCCTTGACCTACAGCAGTGTGTACGTCTCGTTGTCTCTGTTGTGGGGATGCGTCTGGGTGGGGAGCTCCAAAGATCGGTAGATAGGATGATGCAGACGGACCGCAGATTGACTTGTGTCGTCACTCGCGTATGCTGCCGACAGCAGGCAACGGGCTGTAAAGGTCACACCCAACGCTTCCTATGATGTGTGCCTTTGGATTCCTTGGCCCACAGCATTCTCGTGTGCTGCTGTGCTGCGTCTTTCAAGAGGATTTCGGGGATTCTCCTCGAGCGTCGTGCCGATCGCTTACTCATCTGTCTCTGTCTTACAAAATGTCTGATACAATCGACGTGTGATTGGTGGGAGATGGGTATCTACCCCGCTCTACCCCTCTAAAACACAGATGATTGTTGGAAGTTCTTCCGTGTCTGACACAAAATTGTACGTGGGTGCGCTGCCTATGATCCGTCAATTGATGGTCAACCTAAAGTACCTCAACCCGACAATGAGCCGTCCCTTCAGCCCTTGTGGGGCCCAGAATTACAAGTCGATTTTGACCTTCTAAAGAAAAAACTAGAAATGAAAACAATTTTTTTCGCCCTTCATCGACAGCAAGATCTTCTACATTACTACCACACACTCTCTATCGCACCCATCCATGCGGTTCATTCGTTCATTCCTTTCTGTCATCATCATGGTGCCGTGTAGACCTGTCTCGGCTGTTTGTGTGCAGCTGCTGCTGCTGCTGTTGTTGCGCCAACAAACATGTGCAACTTCCGATTGTTGGGTAGGAAGCACAACTACCTTGAGAGACAACGAGCATAATTTCACGCTTCTCATGAGGCAGCCACCACCCTTGAATAAATGATGACAATGATAGACTCAGCAAGATAGGATCTACGCTTGACTGAGTACCGGAGTCAGTCGTTCTCGCAACGTCGCAAGGTTTGATGATTCGATTCGTCACCTGCCAGGGAAACCTTTGAAATCGCTTCGCGTCTGCTCAACGCTCGCTCGCTGGGACCACAGCCCAGACTCATGACGAAACCATGGCTGGTGTAGGCCAAGAGAGCAAGCGTCCCTAGACGCAACAACATGTTGCTTCTCTGTTGTCCGATGAACATGTGCATATACCCTCTCTGAGTGTCTTATTCATGATCAGATGATGCGGCGTAACAAAGGGATCAAAGGCGCTCCGCGGATTCTTCCACATACCATCATACCACCGCCTTTGATGCTGTTGTTCCCCCACCGCACACTCACTTTGTTCTGTCTCATCTTCTTTGTCCTCCGTCTTTCCCGTCCAAGGTGAGCTCTCTTGTGATGCCTGGCGTGCACTGGTTGGCCTATGTCAAGGGATCATATGTCGTGGTCGACAGGTACCTGGCGGTGGCCGTGTACCAGCTGTGTCTTTTAATCCCGAAAAAATGCGATATCGGAACAAAGCACCGCCCGCACCCACACACCCACCCTAAATGCTGTCACGGACTTGTTGACCCCGCCCTCTCTCTCAGAACACCATGGCTGAGACGACTGGAGCTGATGCCGCGGCAAAGAAGGTGGTCATGGTCACCGGTGGCACCGGTCTGGTGGGCTGTGGCATCAAGGAGTTCGTCGACACCGACCCTGAGGTGGGTCTTTCTCGCCGCAATAATCGCCCTCGTCAAGTCAGTAAGTCAAGTCCTCTCTCGTCCTCTCGGATTCGAAAAACTGAACAAACTTTGTGGCACAGCAAAGTTTCCCGAGCTGCTGCAGTAGGTAGGGCTGAACATGTCCAGGAGTCAACAACCAGGCAGAACACGGCAGAAGAGACAGCCGCTGTTCACCCCTTCGCTCATGAACTAGCCTCACACAGCAGTGGTTTTTCTACCACAGCAGCCGTACGTCGTGGTACACCCCAATGCTTATGAGTTAGGCATAAATGCAGGAGAGAACTCTTGCGGATCTTCTTTCCAGTGTCTGCGTTTATTTGAGAGGGAAAAAGATAACTCACAGATTCCCCCCGGCTTGAGTTGTAAGATATAACGATATAACCACAGCAGTCGAAAGGGATTTTTGTTTCTTCTTTTGCTTTTTTTTCTTGCAGGCCCAGAAGAACGAGGAGTACATATTCCTCAGCAGCAAGGATGGCGACTTGAGGGACATGGAGTCCACCAAGGCTATTTTCGAGAAGTACAAGCCGACCCACGTCATCCACCTCGCCGCCAGGGTGAGTGTAATAAGAGTCTTGAGAAGAATATACATACAAACACACGAAGACTACCCTTTCGAGATATGACCACAGCAGTCGAAGGGGATGTGCTGGCGAGTCTTTGCGGTGAGGGGAGGGTGTTGTAAGAGAGTGTGATATTTCGCTACACGGAAACCCCCCGCAAAAAGATGGAATACCCCAGATTCTGAAGTGTGGGAGATGAAGTTTTGTTGTGTCGAAGACGTGAGAAAGATTAAAAAAGGACTCTAGCCGGCGGTCGTCGGACAGAACAAACAAGGGCTCCCGCACAGCAAAATCAAGAAATATGTGGTACAAGCGTAGCGGAGAAGCCTTTACAGCGGGTCGTTTCAAACCGAAAAGTCGTCCTTCGAAACGTGGATTGAACTTCCTAATTTTCCACATCCTTCCTGCTCGGAGAGTAATTAAGGCGTGACTACCGTAAAAGCGCATATTATGGCACCCATCGGTGTTATCGCACCGGGGTGATCAAAATATCAAGAACGGCATGATTAAATTGTATTTCCGCACCGGTATCGGTGTTATCGCACCCGGTGCGATATCAACGATATGAAACCTGGTAGGACCCATGTTTATGGTCGCCAAATCTTTGCGAAAATGTCGAAATTTTCAAACATTTGCTGATAAAGATTTTGTTTCACTTTCTATGGGAGAAAATATTCGGCAAAATCTTCCCAAACATTTTCAAATGGGGCAGAAGTCGCTCGTTTGACAAAATGTTCGACAAACATTTTGAAATGGGGCAGGTCGCGAAAATCTTTTCCAAGAGCGGCGAGATTAGTAGCCGACCGCCCCTTCCGTCCTAAACACCAACCACTGCGCAGCGCACACTCAACGTAGCAAGCTCGTAGAGGGATCCGGACAACCCTAGAGTCACCGTGTCAACGTTTTGCCGGCTGATACATGGCGGGAGCTCGTCAAGCGTGCACAAGTGTACTTGTAGGTGGTTGCTGAAACAAGCGTCGCGGGGAAGTCGGTCGTTGAATGTACCTGCTGAAAACACCTTGCATCGTTTGGGGCAACTGTATCATGACACCTTTATTGTCACCTGGCCATCCACAACAGAGCCAAAAGACCCGCTCACCCGTGTTGCTTATTATTCGGCAGTGAGTAAACAACGACCACACGGTGTGAGACCCCTTCTTTTGAAATCGTACATCGCAGGACAGGCAGCAGCATGGTGATCTTGATCGCGAAAAAGCTCTTCCCGTTGATAAAACATGTATCCGCTGTTCCACCCCCCCGCCGAAATTAACAAATATACATAGGTGGGGGGATTGTTCAGCAACCTCAAGTACAAGGTGGAGTTCTTCCGCGAGAACATCCTCATCAACGACAACGTGATGGAGTGCTGCAGGATCTACAAGGTGGAGAAGCTGGTGTCCTGCCTGTCGACGTGCATCTTCCCCGACAAGACCACCTACCCCATCGACGAGACCATGGTGCACAACGGCCCGCCGCACACCAGCAACGAAGGGTACGCGTACGCCAAGCGCATGATCGACGTGCTCAACCGCTGCTACAAGGTATCAGTATGTCACGACTCCCTCCTTCCCGGCTACTCTCTTGTCTTTGTTGCCTGTTTTTTTACCTTTTCGACACTTTTGTTGATGTTGCATATCCGTATCTAGTGAGGGCCCGCGAGCGTACGCTGGATTGCGTGTACTGGAAGGCGGACTGACTTCTAGAAAAACAGGGTCCGCGCCCTGTTTTTTCTCTGGCATGGCGCTGAGTTGCGTGCTTTGGAAGATACAGTAGGCGCTAAAACGTGCGGAGGGGCTGTAACGTTCGTGTTCGGCGCAAAGTCGGGGTCTTTCACTTTCATCATGTTCCTGGCCTTTCTTCGTACACTGTAGTGGGCGTATCTCAAGGCGCCTTGGCTGCCACGAGCTGTTCCACTGCTGCCTCGACTTTACCTCTGGTGCTGCCTCTCGTTGTGGATGTACCACGATTTTCGCACTCACGGCAGGGCGAGTACGGGTGCAACTTCACATCGGTGATCCCCACCAACATCTACGGCAAGGGGGACAACTTCTCCATCGATAACGGGCACGTACTCCCGGGGCTCATCCACAAGTGCTACAAGGCGAAGCAGGTTAGCTCAGCTACTGCTGTAGTGGCTGCTGCTGCTGCTGCTGCTGCTGCAACAACGTTCATGGTTGTTGGAATTTGGTGTGGCGATGTTGAACCGCTGGGGGAGGCCGGCTTGCGCGTTGAGGGCATGCCTGCCCGAGCAAGTATTATTTCGTTGCATGTCTTGCTTCGGCGCACCGTCCTTGGGGTGCAGTATGAGGGCAAGTTGCGTAGCGTCGACAAAGGGCGTCGATGGTTCTCTCAGAAAAGAGCGCTTCATACGTACGGTGCCCTTTGTTTTGCGGGAGATTTTTTTCCGGCCGATGTTGCTGGGAGATGCGGATCGATCTCGCGTGTGTTGCCGCCTTAATCCACCACATGAACAGAACGTGGTTTTCATGTGTGCTTTTAGACTTTTTGCACGCTGACACACTATTGTACGCACACGTATCAGGCCAAGTCAGGGTTCGTGTGGCGGCGACCTACTGACTCATAACCCATGCCTTGTCTGCTGTTGCGGTGTTTGTTTGGCTTCTCGTTGAGCTCAGGCGGGCGAGGACTTGCACGTTTGGGGCACCGGGAGCCCGCTCCGCCAATTCATCTACAACGTCGACCTTGGCGCCCTGATGGTGAGGGTAGGGTAGCTTGTGTTGGAAGTATATTCCTGTGTGGTTGTGTGTTGCCCCTGGGTACTGATGGTGAGGGTATTGTGGAATATTCTTATGTGTGTTGCCCCTGAGCACTGAAACTTCTTGAGATTTTGGTGAGGGTATTGTGTGGAATATTCTTATGTGTGTTGCCCCTGAGTACTGAAACTTCTTGAGATTTTGGTGAGGGTATTGTGGAATATTCTATGTGTGTTGCCCCTGAGTACTGAAACTTCTTGAGATTTTGGTGAGGGTATTGTGTGGAATATTCTTATGTGTGTTGCCCCTGAGTACTGAAACTTCTTGAGATTTTGGTGAGGGTATTGTGTGGAATATTCTTATGTGTGTTACCCCTGAGTACTGAAACTTCTTGAGATTTTGGTGAGGGTATTGTGGAATATTCTATGTGTGTTGCCCCTGAGTACTGAAACTTCTTGAGATTTTGGTGAGGGTATTGTGTGGAATATTCTTATGTGTGTTGCCCCTGAGTACTGAAACTTCTTGAGGTTTTGGTGAGGGTATTGTGTGGAATATTCTTATGTGTGTTGCCCCTGAGTACTGAAACTTCTTGAGATTTTGGTGAGGGTATTGTGTGGAATATTCTTATGTGTGTTGCCCCTGAGTACTGAAACTTCTTGAGATTTTGGTGAGGGTATTGTGGAATATTCTTATGTGTGTTGCCCCTGAGTACTGAAACTTCTTGAGATTTTGGTGAGGGTATTGTGGAATATTCTTATGTGTGTTGCCCCTGAGTACTGAAACTTGCTTGGTTGTGACCGGGCCCTCTACGAGCGTGACTGGGACGTACATTTTGTTTTGTAGTGATAAATCATGTTGGACCAGTGCTGGGGCGGTGTTGTGGAGTCCCCTTCTCCGCGGTGCCTTGTTCGCCGTTTCTCCTTCCCCGAGACACTCAGAGAAGGTTTTTTGGCTCCCGTTTCTATCACGGATGACTAGCTTACGACAGGCAGACACTCTTTCCACGATTGGTACGTCAAATAATGTAGACCGTTGTTATCACCGTGCCGTCATTCGCGGCGAGTTTGTGTGGGCCAACGAGGCGTGTCCCTGCTTCGGCGTGTGCTGTCTGCTTCGGAAAAGGCAACAAAAAGAACACAGCTACAAGTTCGTACAAACCTGCTGTAGTCTAATCGACACGCTCGCGCGGTTTGCTTGCCTCTCTCCTTCCTTGCTTGCTTGCTCTATCTTGGCGAGATCAGATCTGGACGATGCGCAACTACCACGAGGTAGATCCTATCATCTTGTCGGTCGGGGAGGAGGACGAAGTGTCCATCGCGGACGCGGCGAAGATGATCGCGAGCGCGATGAACTTCGAAGGGAACGTTGTCTTCGACACCGACAAGGTGGCTTGATTGACTTGACTTGACTTGACTTGCGCGTATAGTAACGTTTGTCATGTCTAAGATAGCTGCCTGGAGACGATATGTACCTGCGATCCGTTGGTTGTATGTGGTGTTTTCATGTCTGCGACGGACGATCTACTTGGAGGCGAACTTGACCGTTGTCGTTTATACTTGCATGTACATTGGTGCTGGGTTCAATCGTTTGCTGTGACGAGCTCGTAGAGAGAAAGTCGCCGGTTTTTCGGACGTGTAGTTTGACGACGAATGTCGAAGAACGTGTCCGTGCTTGCGGAGGGAGGGGCTTGCCAAAAGAGATGCACCTAAAGATATCGCTTGCACTTTTAAACGGGAATACGGCTCGCCGTCTTCAAGGCACGCTCGTGTGTTTTTTTCCTGTCGCTCCTGAAAGCCTTGCATACCGTCCGGCTTCCTTGGCGTATCGACGAATGAGATAGAAGCTCTCTGGCTCTCGTGGGAACGTTTGGAAGTTTTAGAAGCTTGGTTTGTCTTGGCTCTTTGCGTTAGTTAACCCCCCGCTTGTCACGCCTCTGAAGCCCAGGCGAGGTGATTTTGGCGCTTTGGTTTTTTATTGGTTTTGATTGTGTCGATCTTTCTCACCTCTCCTCGCCGGCGTCTCGACCCAGCACTTTGCGCTCCCCTCAGAAAGCGGCGAATCGAGTTACTTGCGCTCTTGAATCTCTCCGTCTCGTGGTTTACGCGTCCGCTTGCCGCATGTGGTTGTGTGTCTACCCCCTACCCCCAACTCTTAGTCCGCTCTGCTGCGTCTCCCTCAAGCTGGTGGTTCCTGGTCCTGTTCGTTTTTTTGTTTATCGTGGTGTGTAAAATCTCATATGCCTTGCCTCGTTGTGGTTGTCCTGTTTTCGTTTTCCCAGTCGGACGGACAGTTCAAGAAGACGGCGTGCAACGACCTCCTCAAGAAGAAGAACCCTGACTTCAAGTTCACATCCATGCAGGACGGACTCAAGGCGGTGAGTAACCCCCCCTTCGTACCCGAAGATGATGATGCAACACAGCGAGAAATGTCCCTGACAGTCACCAACGAGATCGGCTCTTGTGCTAGTGTGTAAGGCTCTTTGTGATGTGGACCTTTTACCTGTGCATGTACTGTACTGTATCACGAGTCAAGCGTCGGCGGATGTCCAAGATCCGTGTTTCGCTTGCGCAGCTCTCATTTGTTGTGAAAGATGTTCTTCATTCGTCTTGAGCAGGCGTGGGGTGGTTCTGCATTCCTTGGCCCTCCTCTTGTAGCAGTGGTGACGTCGGGTCGGTCTGCCGTTGTTTGGCGGCCACCGGCGACGATTGGTTGTGTTTTGGAGACCATGCTGGCTCTTTGGCCAAGATCCACCAGAGTTTACCGGCGGCTGTTTGTATATAACATCTACGCGCGTGAAACCATATGGTACTTTTTTGCCCCATACACGTAGGCGGAAAAAAAAGTCTCAAGTGTTACCTTACCGTCCTCCTTAGTTACCAGGCATGGTACGTCAAGCATACCCCAACGCCCAGATTGGACGGGACGAAAAAAAACACAACACACACTCACATAAAAGGCTGCAACTGTTTTGAGATGCATCGCGCACGATCACCTCTTCCGTCGATGTCGCAGACAAAGACTGCCTTCATTCTCATGCTACGCCCGCGACACACCGCTCACGTTGCCCCCCCCCCCCCCCCCCCACTGCTCTGGTCGTCGGTGTGTACCTTCATATATTGCGTTGCCATACACAGGCGTGCGACTGGTTCTGCGAGAACTACGAGACTGCTCGCAAGTAGAAGACCATTTTTGGGAGAGAAACTTGGTGGTGTTTGCTCGTATTCGGCATGTTGACGTCACGTGCGTTGGAGGGTGTTCCGGAAGGGGTACATGTGGTATCGTACTTGCGTTGTCCCGTACGGCATGTGTTTGGCCGTCTGTTAACGAGAGGTCGGGGTCCCCCGCACTTGTAATTTTAGTGTGTACGTTCGGGAGCAGGGTGTGTGAAAATTCGCAAGAGGCTGTTAGCGTTGGCGGGTGTGGCTTGGCGACTGCCCCTGCAGCCGTCGTCCCGGTGCGTTCGGTTGATCATCGAATGCAGGGGTGGGTAGGAGTTTGCCGCGGCATAGTTTGATAGTCGGTCAAAAACCGGAGTAGGCGCCCTGCCCCGGGGCGGCCGTGGATGAATCTCGGCATCATGAACTGGCGTGAGCGCGTGTGTGTCGCCGATGCATTCCCAGGAGGATGTCGGTGGTTTTTGGTCCGCATGGCAACGGCAGTTTTCCTAAAGATTCATCCCCTGTAACCAATATCTGCTAAGAGCTAGCTCTCTTGTTGGTCATTGTCGACGGATTTTGCACCAAGTTAGGTGGTTGCCGCGCATAATTTCACGAGTTTCGCGCTCTCTTGCATTCCCAGAGGCTGCGTTCGCCCACGCCGATGCGTGTGGACCCTTGGCGTGGACTTCTTCTGCCAACGACCGCTCTCTGCGCACAACCGTATGGCTGGCGACGGCTGCATTTTCACACGACGCTTGGGCACCAAGCCAGGGAGCAGAAAGCATGCTAAGTCGCTTGTACCTCTGCTGGCGGGGGAGCGTGCGATGATACAGACGGGTAGGTAGACGATAGAGTAGTCTGGTGAAAGAAGCACACATGTTGTGTTGTGCTCTGGTCGGCTTCTGCGCCAGCCTTTTTTATTCGTACGATGGTTGTGCGTTGCACATAGCACCGTGTGCAAGTGAAAGCCATACCCACAAGACTCACGCACCACCAGTCTGCACGCACGGAAAAATACATCTATCTCAGAAACGCGGACGGACAACCATTACTTCACGGGGAAAATACTATGTACCAATCTACTGCTGTACAACGGGATACAGCGTTCGTGTTCGGGAGACATAAGAAACATCGAAACCCGCGAGCGTTGTGCCGTAGAATGCGAGGAGATTGCCCACCCATCGACGGACGAGTTAAGCTGCAGCTACGCTTCGACATTCCCATGCTCCCTATCATCTACCCTACCAGGAATTGGTCCCAATGTCCGCACACCAAGCTACAGAAACAGAAGACACTTGAACAACACGACTTTGGGCTACATACAGTGCGCAACTCTTCCTTCAGTACACTAGGTGTACGGCCAACGCTGTCCACGCAGTGATGGTAACCATCGACGCCCCGTACTGCCAGAGGTACAGCCGGGCCATGAAGCCTGCGGTCGCCGGCATCCGTAGCTGGTTCAGGGACACGATCACAAACTGCGAGAAGAACCACGAACGATCGCACAGCAACAGTTCGTTCGCTAGAGGTCAACTGGAAAGTGTAGGGGGCGGGGAGGCTGTGGGGATCGTGGCGGGAATATGGTATCAGGGTGGACACTTGAACGGGTCGGCCATGTGGGCGACGACGTATTTGGCGACGGTACGTGACTTTCCTGCAAAGCACTACTCTAGCAGAGGCTTCCTGGTGTATGCAGTACGTAGGGGAAGACCCTACGTCACAATAGCTAGTTAACAGGAGGGATTTAGCGGACACCCTCGTCAAGACAGCGTTTATTGTACCCGGTTCAGGCTATTTGGAGCGTAGGGTATACCCAGAATCTAAGCCAGACGGTCACAGTCACAAATTGCACAGCAATAAGGAGAGCCCCTCACCGCCGCCGACGGCATGGCGAGCTCGATGAGCAAGATAAGGTGCATCAGCCGGTTCTCCCCCATCACCGAGCTCTGATTTCTTGCCACCCAAAACAGGGTGAACCCCACCGCAGGCACCTTTTGATGCCCAGACACGATCAAACGATCACGATCACGGGGAGCAACGGCGGAGAGGGGGGGGGGGGGGCGTACTCATGTTTTGCGGGCCTTAGCGGTTAAACCATTGCCCCCAGGGGGTTAGGGAGATCAGGAAAACCGATGCACGGAAAATCCAAGTCCCCCTAAAACACTCGACCACACGAAATGTCGTAGGGGACACGCAACGTCGTAGGGTCGAGTCGGCAGCCAACCCTCTGCAACTTCCTCTTCATTCATCGAGCCTGCAAGGACAACAGGAGAGGCATGCGCACAACCCTTAGCCACCGGGTTGCTGTAGGATATGAGGGGGTGAGAACAAGCAACCGAACGTTGAGGAGGAGCGAGCGCTCACTTACCACGATGAGGCGGCAGACCACGTGCAGGAAGCCCACGAGGATTCGGAAGCGACGCCATCTCCGCAGGGTGCCGTCGTCATCACCCTGTCCCCCTTGTGATGCCGCCGCGGATGCCGCCCCCACGGTGGGAACCTGCACCAGGCTGCCGGCCATCACCAGCGTCGACACCGCTACCGTGGGCGAACCGATCGTCTGTGTATGGCAAGAGAAGAAAAATAAGAGGCAGAGAAGATAACAGACGGTAGGCGTAGTCGCCCGATCGGGGAGGGGAACCGCGTTTGCGGGGTCCGATGAACTTGTACCAATGCTTGCCGAGTTTGAACACGAGATTCGACGAGCAATGCGCCAAACACGGGGTACTCCCAACTGGTAAACACGTACCCCCTGTTCAATCGCGACAGGCGTTGCGGTCAGGCTACAACGACCCACCTCGACGGCCGCACCCAATGGCCGCAGAACCGCCCTCGGGTTGTCGAACAGCTGCTCTTGTAGGGCCGGAATCATGGCGATGGTCACACCGATCGCGACCGCAATCATGTTGGGCGACACCACAAGACGCCACAACCGACGCCTTAGCCCCGCCCAGGAGCAGCAGCCCTCGTCATCGCCATCCTTGCCCGCGTGCGAAGCAGCCGCCGTGCCGCTGGTACCGCTGACCCCCTCATTCCGCCGACTAGCGCCGACAACCACTGCGCCGTCGTGTGTTGGGCTCTGCCTACCACTACCGCCCTCTGCCTGCCGTGGGGGCAAGGCGTCCCCTTGTGCTATCTCGCAGGGTGAAGATATCTCGACATCGTCAGTGGTTGCTTCGGACGGTGATTTGGCTGCTTCCCCTGCGAGCTTGCGCTCCAGCTCGTCATCCTGCCCAAGGGCGTAGAAACCCCAGGAGTAAAACCATACCTGCAATGAAAATTCGCGACAGGGGCGTGGATTGTTGTCCGCACGTGCGAGGGTTGGTTTACTCGTCCGTGTTTCTCCCATTGTCGTTCATCTTTCAATGGCTGATTTTCTTGCTCAACAAAACGAGTCCGAGCGTTTCGGGGAGATGTGCTGACGAAAAGAAACAAAAGGTATAAATCACCCACGGCGCACGCGTGGTGAAAATAAGCGGTGGGTCAACAAGAGAACAGCAATCAAGCTGGCTCATGCTAACGCAGCCAGCTCGTGGTGTCCTCTCCGGCACCGTAACGTGCTGTTTAGCCGTCGACAAGCCACAGTAGTCACGGAGGTAAGCCAGAGTACATTCCACTTGCTTGCGCTGTTCCGTACTTCTGTCTGTCCGCACTGCTTTTGAAGAATCATTCATAACCACCGCCCTCACTGCCTTCACTCACTTGCCAGACGACCACGTAAATGAAGATCATGCCCGTTGCTTGTGTGAAGCACTCGACCTCGTCATCATCAAAATCACTTCGCACGCAAACACGGGGTTTATTTCAGAGGGAGGGGGCGGGCGGGGCAGGCAGGGTGAGTTGGAGGGATGAAGCAACGCCACCTGTCGAAAACAAATATTTCACCTATTTGGTCTATTTTCTGGAATGGTTTAAACTAACTTGCAGGATTTGCCCGTAATCATGGAACGAAAATCTTCGCCTCCTCAATGTGTGTGAGCAGGCGGCCGGCCTCGGCGCAAGTCAGCACGTCGCTATGTATAACCCGGTTGTTTCGACCCCCCATAACAACACATTGTCGAACAGCTTCGTGTTTTGTGTTGGCCACCTGCGGAAGCACTGCTGCTGGTGCCGCTGCAGAGTGACAGACTTTTAATGACTACCAGGAACACACCGCAGCAGTGGCATCTCTAGCAGACACAACTCCAATTACTGCGCTGTTCAATCTGACCAATATCACACCAGCCCTTCCTTGAAGTACATGTTACCTGTTGATGTAGTCTTGCTCGCAGAGTGCATCCACTAGCAGGAGCGGAAAACCGGCGGAATTCGGGAACGCGATCGCCAGGGCCGCGGGACGAAAGGCGCGGCGATCTTCAGGACGTCGGAAGCTCACACGCCCCACCAACCAGGCAACTACTCCAGAAAACCCTATGGTGAAGCTTCCCGTCACGACCAGCTGCCAGGCGTCTTGCAGCGTGCCCGGAGTCAAGGTGGCTCCGGTGCCAGCGGTCATAAGCGCTGGCCAAAATAGTAGCGCGCAGACCCGGCTGATGCAGCGGCAGGTGTCCTTTGCCAGAAGAGCTGTGCAGCACAGTGGTTCGTCAGGATTGCGCACAATGGCAAATCCGTACAACAGCAGCATGTCGGGTGGGAACATGGTGTGTACTACTGTACTACAGCAGTACATAGCATGCACAGCAGCAGCAGCACAGCAGCAGTGCAACGGAAATTTGTCTGGCGGAAAAGCTAACCAACCGATAACCCATACCAGGCAGGTGATTCTTGACGGGAGAGAAATATTGCTCTTCATCTGTGATCTGCCCGTATCAATGGTATCGCATAGCTTCGGCCACCCCTAACACAAAACCTCGGGGGCGGTACGCAACCCGACATGCAGCGTTTTCCCGGTGCTGCTCACGTTCATTACGAGGGAACTTCGACGCCAAGAATCCAGCCAAGAGCACCACGAACAGTCGTACAGTGCCTAGAACGCTTGTTGTAAGCGCGGTTACGATCGCATCCATGCCTTTGCCTCTCGGGGGGAGCGGAAGAAAGCTGAGAGGGAGTGGGAGACCGCGTCAGCAAGTTGAGCCGAGACTGTTGTGTTGTGTGCTGTCAGCCAACCGAAACTTGCGAAACATGCGGAGCAACTCCCAGCCAATCGTGGCGACACACCGAGGCGTGCAGCGCGCGCGACAACACGTCGTCGACACCCCCCAACCAAGCAAGAGATCTTCGTTCTGTATGGCTGTGGGTAGAGCTTGACGTCACGAAGTTGACTATCCTATGTAGAGCACTGAACCTATATACTGGCGTCAAGACGTCGGCGGCAGATCTCCCTCGTCCACACACTTTCCTTCGGGAGAAAGATCTTGCTGCCCATCCCTACTCATTCATTTGTGCAGCCGAACACAGACCCGGACCTGGTTCGGTGTTCCTAGACACCAACAAGAACCCCCTGACGGTGTACGTGAGACAGGGACCAATGGATGCGATCATAACAGCTCTTTCGACAAGTGTTCTCGGCACTCTGCGGGTGCTTGCGATCCTCCTTGCCGGATTCTTCGCGTCCAGATGGCCGAAAAGTGAACGTGGGTCAACCAATCACATGTGTGCTGGTCTTGTATGTTCTTGGTGTATGTAACAGAGATCTGTCATGTGTTCATGCAAATGCAACGATCCATGAACAAGAACGTCCTGCATATATATGCACGGATGGTTAGTGTGGTGCAGGATGTGGTGGGTTGCGCACCGCTTCTATGCGTAAAGACTTGGACTACTGTAGATATTTACTGTAGATATCGTACTCGAGGGAGGTTGGGAGGACAAGCTTGGTGTGCCACTATTTAGCCCGCCCTGCCGGTTGGATTAACCCTTCAATTAGCGACGACAGTGTTCACTGTGTGTGGTGTCGTGCAACCTCTCGGTTATAGTCATGTTGTGGTTCGTGCTCTTTCAACCTGCTAATGTTGTCTTTCGCAGCTTGCTTCAATCTGTTCGGCTTGCCTTTTGCAATCGCGCCGTTGCTGATGCAGCGATTAGACTACAAGAGTTCCTGGACATATAGGACTACTGCTGTGAGCTAACTCCTCTGGATGTTAGTGTATACTGGGATGACGTTGTTTGTTCGTACTCACGAACTCTGCCGCAGCGCTCCTCACCAAGGAGACCTGCCGCGCGTTTAGCCGGGCCTGCGCACTCCTCTTTCTGCCTTCGCTGATGATCTCCAGCTTGGGAGCTACCTTAAATCCGGAGGCACTGATCAATTCGTGGCAGTTGGTGGTAGCCGGGAGCTTCACGGTTGCTCTTTCGGGAACCGTTGCGTGGGTAGTCGGGCGAGTTTTCTTCCGGAGGCCTGAAGATCGCCGCGCCTTCCGTCCCGCTGGGCTGGCAATCACGTTCGCGAACTCAGCGGGGTTTCCGCTCCTGCTGATGAACGCTTTGTGCGAGCAAGACTACGTCAGAAGGTGATTTGATTCACCAGCTGCGTGGAAGCGGAGTTGTTGTTTATTCCTTCACAAGTTGCACACCGTTGGGACCTCTACTACAGTAAATACCACAAGTACTTGCCGCAACGAAACTTCAAAACATGGACGGCACCCGGAGAAAATTCCCCCTAACTTTAAATTGAATCGCAACGCAGGACACGCCCGTAAATTTTCTTTATGCGGGAAGTCGAGCAATAGACGAAATGTGCGTACATGGAGCATACTTAACTACCAAAATGACGTGACCCTGAAGAAGCTCGAAGCTTGACGTGCGATCGTTGGATGCTCGTCTTTGCCTACACCTATGACTGATCTTACACGCTTTGTGTTACTACACTCCTTGCAAAGTCTACCCACTTAGCGTGGCATTGCTGTCTGCGCCCAATACGTTTGCGGCGGTGAGTACGCTCGCAAGCAGTCAGCCGGCATGAAGTCTAGTGCACTAGTAGTGTCATATCTGTGTGCACTAGTATGCCAATCAAGCCCCAACGATGTCATGGCACAATTAATTGCAGAATCGCTCTCTTATCTTAAAGGTCATCAAATACAGGTAATCACGAAGGGCGCCACATGTAGTAATGACGTACGCGAGATCCACACACCACCATGACTGCCACGAATGTGCTCATGAACCCCGTAACGAAACGACAGTGATTACAATGACGACGCGGTGGAGTGCTTCACACAAGCAACGGGCATGATCTTCATCTACGTGATCGTCTGGCAGGTGAACAGTGGGGCAGGGTCGGATAGACGCTAGCGAGTGCCAAGCGAGTGCGAAGCAATAAATCCAATCGTATGAGCGATCAATATCGCTTCACTCGTCAAGCTACCGATGAAAAAATGACAATTCCGGGAGCAGAAGAGACGTGGCCGAATGTACACAAGTCAACTGATCGTATAACTTAGCTAGCCTGCAATGATATTGACGCACAGTATTGGCGGTACTTCGAGGACGAGAAACCTCCCCTACCCCCAAGCAAACCATCGCATCTGGTGCGAACAACTGGCTGCGCCCTTCGGCGGTGTGCGCGTCGTCAGATGTACTTTTTTGGATGGGGATTCTATGCCCTAGGGCACGACGACACGTTGGAGCGTAGCCTCACCGGACAGCGGACCAGGACACAAACACCGTCAACCAAAACATGTGCTGCCGCAAGAGCTACGTCCTCGACGCCATCGGCGCGACAAGAGCACGGCGGAATCGGCCGCATCAACGCGGCGGAATCAGTGGCCATCGACATCGAGGCGTGCACGGGAGAAGAAAATAGCGGCGAGGGGACGACGAATGCTGGTGGCATGGGGGGCGGTGGCGATGTTAGCGAGGGAGATCGGTGGACGGGATTCAAAGAGCGGGTCTCGCGTGTTCTGGTGTCGCCAAACATCATCTCCGTCACGATCGGTGTGGTTATCGCTATGATTGCCCCGCTGCAAGAGATGCTTTTCGACAACCCGCGGTCGATACTGCGGCCGCTGGGAGCCGCTCTTCAGGTGAGCTATTGGAAATGAACGGCTCTGAAACATTCTTAAAAACCTACCCCGAAGCATTATTTTTTTCCAGGTCGAGTGTTTCGAGCCGGTTCGATTATGTTTTCCTAGTCCGTGCTTTGTCTCCACTCCCTTCCTGCTATACCACGTGTTGAATGGCACACACCGCCGTTCCTCTAGAGTTTGTGTCTGACAAGTATTCGCCGTCGGACATCGCATGTTTTGGTCGCGACAGACGGTGGGGACACCCGAGGTGGCGGTGTCAACGCTGGTGATGGCCGGCAGCCTGGCGCAGGTTCCCACCGTGGCGGCGGCATCAGCGGCGGCAACACAAGGGGGACAGGCTGACGACGACGGCGCCGTGCGGAGATGGCGTCGATTCCGAATCCTCGTGGGCTTCCTGCACGTGGTTTGCCGCCTCATCGTGGTAAGTGAGCCCCTGCTGCATAAATTGGGGCTACGACTACACTCAGACGGAAAATGGCATTGGTTGATCGAGTTTCGGGGAGTTTTTTGTTTGGACCAATAACCTGCTTGAAAACGTGTATTTTCATCGACATGTACTCAATAATTACGCACTCGTTCTTCCCGACGATCTCAGTTTTGGCCGTTAGTGTCAAGATGTCACACACGGGCCAAGATATCTATGATAGAGGTGGAGGCTTCAGGTTCAACGAGCAACGCCCTGTCTTCATCACACATGCATTTCCCTACCCTCCTCGAGATCTCGGTCGCTCTACCCCTGACCAGACTGTCCGGTCAAACCCGTGACCAATTGCTGCTATCTGTACACATCTTGAAGGTACCTGCCATCGGGTTCACCGTTTTTTGGGTGGCAAGGACACGAAGCTCGGTGATGGGGGAAAACCGCCTGATGCACCTGCTCCTGCTCATCGAGTTCGCCATGCCGTCGGCGGCGGTGAGAGGGGGGCGTTTCTTTCTGCCAGATTGTTCATGAATGTGATGTACGTTTGCTTCGTTTCCGCGGGGGTGTGGGCGTGAGCCGTTGGAGAAGGACCGTGGCGGCGCAGAGGCGACAGAGTCAGGTTGGCCACGCGTAGAATAGAACGTGACTACCTTTTTTTTTGACAGAGAGTACAGATAGAGACGACAGACGTGGATTGCTTTAGCGGTTCAGGATAGGATGAGCCGCTGCGGCTGTATTTCTCTTGAAGGTAAGCGCCCAGTACCACCGGCGGTTAGCGTTGAAGAAAACCCGGAATACCCTACCGGGAAAGCGCCCATCGCCTTCGTCACGCCCGCGCGCACGTAATGACCCATCACCCTGGTTATCCCTCCGTACATTCTTCCGCAGTTTGTGATCGTGTCCCTGAACCAGCTACGGATGCCGGCGACCGCAGGCTTCATGGCCCGGCTGTACCTGTGGCAGTACGGGGCGTCGATGCTTACGATCACCGCGTGGACGGCGTTGGCCGTACACCTCGTGTACTGAGAATGAAAACTCAGGCAGAGGGCTATATTGATGGAACGTCGAAGAGAGGTGACCCGGCTAAAATTTTTCGAGTCTTTGTTGTCCAATTGATGGGACTGAAGCGCGAGAGCCCTCTTGGCGGTGGTATTGAGCGGTCCTATGGAAGAACCCTGCAGGGATGAGCGTGTGCGCGTCTCGTTGATATTACCGTTGGGAACCGCTTCCTCCAAGACTCTCTCCCCTTCCTTGTAGTGCAGCAGTGGGATAGCCTAGGGGACCAGTTTGTTTTGTTGTGTCTTGCAATAGTATGCTCCAGGAGATAGGGTTCTCTTGGAATAGAGAACCCGTCACGTAATAGTTTTTTCGTTCTTTGCAGGTAGGGATTTCTTGGTGGTTGAATAGAGAGCCCATGCGTCACGTGGTTTTTGTCATGCAGTTTTTTTCGTATTTCTGGTCACGGATTTCTTGGTGGTGCATGAACCGTACACGTTTATTGTTAGTTGTTGCTAAACCAACACGGCACTTGCAGCACGAAAGGGGGCCGGTCTTCCTGGAGCTCTGCTATCAAAGGTGCAAGGTGTAACGAGCCCCCCCATGTCGTCGTCGAGTGCTACTGTGTCGAGTGAGACAGGGAGAGCTGTCCAGAAAAAGCACTTCGCACAAACAAAATGCGCTGAACAATAAGGTCTGGGGATCGATCACGACATGGGGCGAATCGAACCAATCTAAGCAATTGGTGTGTTACAGCCGTGGAGCTGGTTTCGTTTCACGAGCTAGTGTCACAGTGGTTATAACGCTATCGCTTAGGGTAGCTCACTCATGTGTTAGCGTAACAAGCACTGGCTAGGGTTCAATTAGTTTCATCCATTTCATGGTCAGTTTCATGGTATCTTACCATTGGATTCAAGATGGGGGCTGGTAAAAGGGATATAATCCCGGTGGGTCTAGCCCTGTGGGTCTAATCAAGGTGGGATTAGCAAGGGGGGTCTAGGCAACATCTGTCCAGATCTACCTCTCATGCTTTGAGTCACAGACTGGTTGCTTCTTAGCGGGTGGGTCAAAGTTCCTCTTCCGAGATTGGCCGTGTTAACAGTGAGCGATCACCCAAAACACGTGTTGAGGCGGAGCTCTAGAGGGGCCCCGCCAATGATTCAGGTACACCCTGGGGTATACGCTAGCCCTCCTCAAACCATCGTGAAACGGAATGAATCTCAGTATCTAGCGCCCGTTCATGCTACCGTGACACCCCCCCAGCATACATGTGTTGAAAAACACAAAATGCTAAGGAGGTAGCAGAACGTGCGCTTCTCCCTCCTCAGATCATACCACGCCGGGAATATAGATCTGAAAAGGGAGGATGCCGCCCTCCCCAGGTTAAACCACAAAAAACGGATTTGAACCTCGAGAGGACGGATGCCGGTGTGTTCGACGTCGATGTTACATTGCTGAAATCATCGGCCCCGAATGACGGCCGTTAGTACTTTGGCCGCCGTATACCGGACTCCTTGACGATGACGATCTTGAACTGAAGAAGGCGATCGTCCACTGAAGAAGGTGATCTTCCACTGTTGAAGACGTTCTTCCACAAACAGTCTCCACATACCGACGACTATGACGACGATCTTGCATCTTGACCGACGATCACCGACTGTTGAGGACAATCTTCCGCTGTAGAAGACGATCTTGGAACTCCTCATTCGTAACACTGCCGTCACCCCCCCCCCCAGCTTCCCGCATGGAGGACGGAGGATGGCTGGCAGTGTACGACTCCACGATTCTTGAGCGGTCAGCGGTGGGAGTCTGGTGGCAAGATCAATTCCACGCCTTAGCTCCCTGCGATTGAGCTCTTCCCAATCTCCGTCGCTGAACTCCACTCCACTCTCCAATACGGATCATAGAAATCGCAGACCTTCCCTCTGCTGAGCACAATGTTTTCTTGATCCATGAGCTCCCGTCCAACCATGGTTCCACAGGGAAATTCCGCGAGAGCTTCGGCCCGCGTTGCTACTTCGCGTTCTCCTCGCGACGGCGGTCCCGGGGGTCGTGGTGCGATATTCACCCCGTGAAAGTCTTCCCACAGGGCAGAAAAACATCAAGTTGCAGAGGCGAGAAACTGTCCCTGGCAGTGTCTTCGGTGATCCACGGAGAGGTGGTGCCATCCTGATTCTTTCCTCTATACTCCCATGCCCATGCGGACGCTATTCCTTCAGCGCCCTGGACCACCCGTCTATTCACCAAAGTATACAGAGGTGCCGCGACGACGGAGTCTTTAGCTAATCCTAAATCCGGCGACCATACAAAATGACCAAACTCATCTTCGAATGGATGTCTGATGTCTTGTGGTCGAGAATGAAACGGCTTGAAGTCCGTGGCTGCCACCGTCCTCTGGCGGATTTGACGTCCATGCAGTCTTACAGTAAAGCTCAACCCCTCTCGCACGACGTGCACGACTTGCCACGGTCCTGTGAAGTGGTCATGGGCAAGTTTAGGGTGGACGCCATCCCGGTAAAGTGTGCTTGCGCTCTCCTTGACCAATACCTTGTCGCCCACCTTAGCCTTGGTGCCTGGTGATGCACGTTTGATCCTCGCATTCTGGAGTTCGCGGTGTCTATTCCGATTTTCCTGTCGCACTTTTAGCACTTGCATCACTTCCACAGTCTTCCTTCTCGTTTCCTCCACCGTCCTTTCCAACGCAATGCTGGACCCGAGTTGTCTAGTGATGGCGACATGTGATCAAACGATGTCCTTGGCGCCCGTCCAAAGAGCAGTTGGTATGCTGACTCTTTGTTTGGAAGGCTCTCATCCGGCGTCGTACGATGGGCCCAAGCGACCACTGCCACATACTCATCCCACCTGTTCGGTCATGCCTGCAGAGCTCCGACAGCATCTCTTGCAGCACCGCTCCCATCCTCTCGACTGTTCCCTGTCCTCTAGGATGGTTGGTCGGTCCAAAGTCGAGGGATATTTTGAGCCACCGGCACAGGTGTTCCATGATCGCCGAGGTGTTTTCTGCCCCCGGATCACAGCGCACTTATATGGGTAGTCCGAAGGTGAGGATGAGCTCCAACAATTTCTTGCTGACTCCCAAAGTTTCCTTCGTGGGAAGCGGGAAAGCGAAGAGGAACTTGGTTGGTCGATCCACTATCACCAGCAAGTACCTGTTGCCCTTGTTCGATGTCAACTTCATGTCAAGAATGTCCATCTCCAAGACTTCCCATGGACGCAAGAATCGTGCCGGTAACATGTGAATTTGTTTGCTCCACTGTCTTTTTCTCATACGGCATCGACATGAGTCTCGCACATCTTTCTTCAGCGATGGCCAGTGGTACTTGTCCGCCACAATGATAGTAGTGCGAGCTATCCCCGGATGTCCAAAGGTGCCATGTGCCAGGGCCAGTACTGCAGACACCAGCTTGCGAGGTAGGGCTACAACATGTGCCGCCCCTCTCGGCGCAAACCAAAGTAGACCTTGATCGTCCAGGATATAATCAGCTTGCTCTCCTTCGCCGTTCTCCAAATTGTCCCGGATGGGTTTCAACCTCAAGTCTTCCTGTTGAGTCCTTTTTAGTTGGGCACCGTCGCGCAAGACACGCTCCATTTGTTCCAACTGTTCGGAATGCCCTCGACAGAGGGGGATGTCGTTGTCTGGCCGTTCCAACCGTGGTTGCGATGTTTCTGGGTCGTACCTCGATGGTGTTGTAGAAGAGCTCTCTGTCGACACTGATCGTCTCTCTGGTTTTTGCACCACGGTCTCCTTCTCTGAAGAGGTCGTCGGCTTCGCTATGGTGGGTGGAGTGAGTGTCGGCTGTCGAGCTCGTCGAGCCGCACTCCGAGTCTCCGCCGGGGTCACCTTAAAACGTGTGCGGTCGACGTGACGGTCGACGGAACTACCCTAGTCACCACCGCCACCGTCGCATCTTCCTGATACAAGCTGGCCAAGTCGATGAGCAGATCTTCGTCTACTTGTTTGGTGTGGTCTGTCTCTGCGTTCTTTTTACCATCCATTAGACGCTTCGGCCTTCCTTTCAGTTGTAGGAGATTCAGAACTTCTCTCAGCATTGGCGCTAATGTGTGCTCTTGCATCACTCGAGCTACATCGCATCTTCTCAGAGTTGGTGGTACCTCGTAGTTGTCCCGGTTGGTGGTTAGCTTCACGTAATCTTTCCACGATAGCTCTTGCGCTTCTACAACTACCCTGCGTCGTTGGGGTGTGCCGTAAAAGCTGTTGATAGGGGTTTACGGCCCATGATGTGTTCCCTTGTAACCGTCACCACCGGCTCCTCAAACGAGAATATCTCCTTGTTCTGACGTCCCCGTTTCAAGAAGAAGCATCCCTGTCTTCTCAAAAAGGCACCGAGGGTGTCGACGGTGCGGTTCTCTCCACATTCTTCTTCCACTGAGATAGTTTAGCTGTCAAATTGGGATCCCCGCTCTTCTTGACTGCTACCACAAACACTCTCCGTTTTGTTGTGGGTATCCCGACTGCTGTCGCTGACAGAGACGCTGTTGCCGTTTCACAGCCCGCCAGGTGCAGTTCTGGGTGAAGAATGTTCTTCCATCTCTCTGACCCTGCAAAGCCTACTGGACTCTCCATTACCAGAATCTGGATGGGGGACGACACGAAAATCTGCACAATGTTGTCTGCATTTCGCCCTGTCCTCGCTCCTTCGTCTGGACCATCCTCGATGGCGCACGCATTGCCAATGAGGATTTCGGGTTTATACTCCAGGATTTTGTGGCGTTTGTCGGACTCTGACGAATCAATGTCGCATCACCGGCTCCTCCGTTGACTCTGATGCATTCCATGGTTTTCCAATCAGAGTCAATCACACATGTTACGTCCAGCATACCCTCAACGGCTTGTAATGCTCCACCTGCCCCTCGACCGAGAACAGCCGCCCTCGGCTGTCTTAGTGTAAAGAGACCTTGTGCTTGTTGATACGCCGCTACGTACTCCTCGTCCCTCGGTGTCAACGCATCAGGTGTGATCTGCAATGCATAGAACACACTGAGATTCTCCA